ATAAAATTTACTTACGAATTTCTTAAATACTATTTCATCTTCCAATGAACTTTCCAACTTTATAAAGTCTTCTACAAAGTTTATAGGTTTCTCTAAAATTTCTATAGCGTTTTCTTGATATCTGCCATATACTTTAGTTTTTATTGCGGAAACTTCGCTTCTAATAGAAATGACTTCCATAGTTAGACGATCAATTTTCGTGGAGCAATCCGTCAGAATGCTTTTAATTTCTGAAAGTCGAATAAAATTTGATGTCTTACAAAAATATGTATCAGTATATGTATCTTCTAAAAGTTAATAATTGCCTTGCAGTAGCGTTTCGCTGCTGAAAACCCTCGGATCGTCAAATAAAATTTCAAATTGGTCTGACATTTCTTAAAAGGTGCCTTTAAAAGTGGACTAAAGGAAAAAAAATATGAATACCCCCCTCTATTAAATGAAATATTTTTCCGGAAATAATTTCAATTCGGTGCTGGCTAATTTCAGGTTCTAATGACAAGGATTTTGAGCTAAATATGCCCACCATGGTTGAATTTATGGGGTATGTGAAAAACGGCTGGAGATCACGAATTAATCTGCTATGCAAAATAAAACTAGAGCCGTAACTTTCGATTCGCACTAATTTGTATATCTTGTACTGACATTCCTTAACATATTAAAGGATTAAAGAAAAAGTTATTGTGATATATTTTTTGACCGGGCACATTGTTATTAAATTTGTCTACTTTATGAAAAACATTCAATAAGCTTTTCTCAACAATTCTATTGTATAGCTGTTCTATTACGAAGTCGCTTTTTTTAACCATAACTTTCAACTGCCCTAGAAAGTTTTCAAAAGGAAAGGCGCTAATAGTTTCTAAAGAATTAAATTTCAACGCCTGTCTACTTAAATGGGTTAAGCAATGGAAATTAAAAGATAACATTGTAAATGAATAGAGTGTAGGTATTTCTTCAACAAATTTATTTAGCAAAGCATCGGCAAGCCCATTTTTGGTTTTGCAATATTCCTCATGAAGGAGAAGTCTTATTCCCAAGCTGAGAACCAAGAAATGATTATATCTTGCAGTATCTAAAAAGCCTTTCATAACTACTGGTCCAGTGTATAGTAAAAATGTACGAAGCTCTGTAGCTTTGAATCTTTCTAAATCATCAAGTGGTCTTGGTTTTCGGCTGATTTCTTTTGGAAAAAATATTTTTAATGAACAAAATTGTGCACTTATAAGGCTTATAGAGTCACGCCTTAAAGAAAAAGGTTGCCTTCTTACTCTTGTCCAAGCCACTAATATAGTTTTCACAACCCCTAAGCAAACAACGTGCATGTAATCGAAAGGAAATTGTTCTACCATATCGATTTGAAGTTTTTCTAAAGCAGGTTCCTCGGTTATATTGTGGTGATCTGGGTACAAGCGGTTTCTAAAACTTTCATTACATGTAGACACATTATGCTCTTTTTTGAAGATAATTCGTCGTTCAAATCTTTCTCCCTTCTGAACACATTTATTGCAGCAATAATATCCAGAATGATGTTTAACTCCTAAAATAAATGCCCATGCTGGTGCATCATTTATAAATGCTCTTATTCCGATATTAAAGTGTTTATTCCTACAAATCATTCCATCTCTAACTAATGTTTGTAGCTCGTCAACGAATTCTTTTAAATAAATGTTTGGGTCTTTAGGTTTGGAATTGCCTACATAAATACCTACAACTATCACGGGTTTTGTACCATTCACGTTTATTAATATTGGCCAAGCTTGTTTAAGCGAGCTTTTGAGCAAAGGCAACCCATCAACGTTTACATTAAGAAAAATATTTGGAGAATGGAAATCAGAGTTAATTAAAAAATCTGTAAGAGCATCCCTAACGCCATAGTGAACGTATTCCCCTGGGTCTACTTTTCGTTTCACTATACTGCGTGGTGTACTTTTCAAAGTACGAACGTCCTTGGGTAAGTCGGAAATCTTTTCAGATAGCAAAACTAGCAATGCATTTCCCGCCTGTTTACTAATGTTATTAGCAGACACCCATTTTGCTGATCTTATTGTGAAAGGCTCCCCTTCAACTTGACTGCTTGTTGTGGTTGAAATATCGATGTCACCAATTGCAGTACATGGAGGCACTAAGTCGGTGCAGTTTGGTTGGATGTCGATCGGGATTAAGCATCCGCCAATAACCGCAATGTCTAGGCTGTTCTCCAAGCCTTCTGGTACTTCAGCCAAAGCTTTCCTTTTGGTAGCTATTGCGGCTGCTACATGGCTAGCCTCGCGTATAAAATTGCGACACTTTCTGTTTGGCATTATACACACGCGTAAACTACAATCAAATGCAAATTTTATGAAACAAACTTTATTTTGGTTATTTAATCACCTTAAATGCTAGAAATAATAATATTTCACTTTATTTTATGTTCACTGCTCGAGCAACGCTTGTCAAAACAAAAATGTGCTGCCACTCCGAAAATTTATCGAGTTAGCGAACAATTTGCTTAAGAGTTTCTTTCGCAAATTGTTCGCTGAAGCGAACCTTCGTTCTTGTATCGAGTTAGCGAACAATTAGCGGAAGAGTTTCTTTCGCAAATTATTC